AGCCAAGATTTTTGACAGACTTACAAAATGGCAACAACGTGCCATTGTAAAATACGGGAGCAAGGTTATCGTTATTAATCTTAGCTAACATTCTGCTACTACCTATAACCATTGCTTTGCATTTGGTTGGGTTAACTAAAACACCATGTCTGTACGACCAATCTCTAATGGCATCGAGGTTGTGGTTGAGTTTATGAATATTATCATTAAGGTCGTAAACGCTAGATTGCACATAGAGCTGAAGATCATCTGCATACAGATGGTACGAACAGTTGAGAACTGAAGTGATAGAATTTATGAATAAAGAAAACATTAAAGGAGAAAGTATTCCGCCTTGCGGCACGCCTGTTTCAATGTCAGCCCATCTTGAGAACTCTTGTCCTAATCGTACTGATTGCTGGCGGCCGCGAAGATAGGATGAAAACCATTCCAAAGCTGGGATTGAGAATCTAAGATTAGTTAGGAAGGCTATAAGGATATCGTGGTCGACTGTGTTAAAAGCATTTGAAAAGTCAACAAGCACTACCACCGTAAGCTTTTGCTCATCCATTCCCATTCTAATATCATCTGTAACTTTTATCAATGCAGTGGTAGTACTGTGACCTGCACGAAAGTCTGACTGATATTTATTCAGCAGATTGTGTTTGGTTATGAACATAGAGATTTGTTTGTAAACACAGGCTTCCAGAACTTTAGATAGGTATGGCAATATTGAAATTGGTCGGAAATGGGTAGGTAATGAGGGATTAGGTATTTTAGGAAGTGGTCGCACAAATGCTTTTTTCCACTGAGTAGGATATTGACCTGAGTCAAGGGAATAGTTTATGATATGTGTGATTGCAGGCAAAAGGCACTCAAGGATCATGGATACCATAACCTTACTAACCTCATCGCAACCCACGGCCTTGGATTTAATAGCTAGTACAGACTTCTGTATCTCATCCTCAGTCACAGGTAAGAAGTGAAAAAAAGGAATAGGAGGAGATGGCATGGATTGAATGGAAGCTATTGTCGTAGAACGAACTGTGGGATCCAAAGGAGAAGTAGAAATAAAGTGATGATTTATTTCATCCAGAGTGATTGATGGACCACGGTAAGATGTAACGGCCTTACTAATACCTAGTGTTTTAAGAAATTTCCACACATCAGCGGTTGAAGAGTTTGCAATATTACTATGGATATAACGGCGTTTAGCATTTCGTACCATCTGATTGCATCTGTTTCCTAGCACTCTGTAGCGATCCCAGCTGTCCTGTGTACGATGCTTCTTAAATTTCACAAATGCTCGATCTCGCCTAGTCACTGCCAACCTTACGGCCTCAGTCATCCACGGGGCTGGTGAACGCTTCACTCTTACTTGATGTTTGGGAGCGTGTTTGTTGCACAGACCAAGAACTATATTATTAAGGATTGAGACTTTATCGTCAATACAAGTTGTTTTAAATAAAGAGGTTAAGTCAATACGATAGGCGTCACTTTTAAGTTTATCAAAATCCATTCTAGAGAAATTACGAATGTGTAGTACGACGGGATTGAGTTTAGGAGAAATCAGCTTATATGATATATAAATAAGATCATGTCGTGAAAAAGCAGGAGCCGATAGTTGTCCGTACTTAATGACATAATCGGGAGAAGCCGTGATAATATGATCAATCCATGAGTCATCAGTGTCAATATTGTGGTGAGTTGCCGCTAAGGGGAGAATTTGGAGATCGACTGACTCTATGATTGACCGAAATTTTTGAGAACGAGAAGAATTTCTCAACAAATCAGTATTGAAATCACCCATTATTATGCAGTGCGTGTACTCAGATGAAGTGGAAGTGAGGGCGCTTTCAAGAGCGTCGAAAAAATTAACTGTAGGCGGACAGTATACTACGCCAAGAATTGCCTTTACACCTTTGATATCAATTTCCAGAAACAGAAACTCCGGTGAGGCAGAATACGCAGATGGAGAAGCTAAAATTATTTTATAAGGGATGTTTGCTCTAAGGTATATGGCAACACCATCTCCTCCTTTTTCAATTTGGTCGTTACGCACAAAAACAAAATCATTTAGAGGATATAAGCTGGACATTAATGATGGTTTTAGCCAACTTTCTGATACTAAGATTGCATGAACACAATCTATAGAAAAAACTTCTTCAAAATAAAAATAGTGACTTGGAATGCTTTGAGCATTGACATGACGTATATTAAGCAAGTTTTTACAAGGAGTAAATAAATTGATTAGCTCTTCGCGGAGGGAGGGCATACTATCACTACCATCACAAGACTCGAACGAGATATCTGAATCATGGGCAGAATAAAAAGATTCATCATCCGACGTATCTAACATTAATAATAGAGATATAAGAATAATAAATTTTAAATAAATAAAAAAATATAATATAATAATATGTTATTAGACAATATAATAATATGTTATTATTGTTAGACTAACTACAAAATACGACTCAATACATATACAACACCCAACAGTTGACTGATTGCAAAGGAATATCTAAAGCTTACAATGATAATAAGAATTAAAAAAAAGCAATTAACACTAACCTACTTACAAAAGTTTACTGATAGTTAATCACTAACTTAGTCACTTAATTAACAAGATAACTTAATGGATACTATTTGACAACAAAATTCACCAAAACAAACAGTAATGCAAAAAGAACATATTTTTAACGGTGAGATACAAAAGAACTTAAATTTTGCTAACATAGCAGCAAGAAGGTACCACACAAAAACAAAAAAAAAAGAAAGGAATACGATTAAGTTTCGAAATACAAGATCAATAATGTACAATTAGTTTTCAGACACAGCTTATTCTATTCTTTATACAAAAGCTTACTCCATAAACATAGTAATTATATACTCTTTGTGTCGAACTGTCACTATTGATTATCCGCTGTATGTTTGTTTTATAATCAAGCAAATAATGTAAATAATACAATTACCGTCAACAAATGATAACAAACAATGACAACAAACAAATGGAAAACCAAACAAACAAAAAAAAAATACAATAAAAAGAACTTAAGAACTAAAGATAGAATACAAACTGCCGATTACAGAGGAATTATTTTTTGGGCACAACACGACGTGTCTTCTTGATTTCTACACTTTGAACCGCTGGGATGACTTGTCTACGCCTGGCCCCACCTTGCTGAGAACTGGTTTCTAATGGGCTTTTCTCCGCAGTGACGGAAGGAGAATTAGGCTTGGGCCATTTAGTAAGAAGGATATCAAACTCTTCCTCAGTGGAAATTTTTATGCGGCTACTATCAGGAAGCCTAATGTTTATGGTTCCATCAAGAGTCCAAACATTCTTCATGCCGAAATGTCGGCGTGCCTTCTTATATGTACCCTGTCTCATTTTAGTGAGAAACTCCGATACTGTGTATGGTGTATTCTTTAATTTTGCCTTAGATCTCCAGACTTCAGACCATGTTATTATTGTGCGTGGATAGGCGTCAAAGTCAAAAAACAAATGAAAAATGTGTTTTTTGCGTTGACCCATGTATTAGAGTATCTATTGTATAAGTGTAGCAAAAAAAAAAAAAATAAACTCCACTAGCTTCAATGCTTTGTTACAGGAGAACCCTAATGTTGCCGAAACAACACTGTATACTCATTTCAAAGCTTATAATAAAGATTCATCTTTTTATGGTGGGCTAAAAGTCCCACCGGAACCGTTTAATAATTATATTGAAGAATTAGAAAGAGCATTCTTAAATAATTTTGACATCGTGATAATGAATCGGCCTGGCAGCACCGTGTTGCAAATTTTACAAACCATTAATTTTCCTCTGCCTTGCTCCTGTTTTCCTCGTAATTATTTACTAAAATTATTTACGCGATTTAGGAAACTTCAACGGTAAAATTTAATAACCGAGAATTCAGAGACGGAAAAATGTATAAATGATTTTATAAAACTCAAACATATATGATTGACATATAAAAAATATTGATAGTATGTATGTATTTCGCAACATTTGTTTTATTACACTAATCATCATAGGTACAACCCTAGCGCATTCGTGCGATGACGCGCTTGCACGTGAGTCGTACGGCGGGCAACACAATCTCGACTCTTTGTTCGCGTATTTACGGTACATTTTCTTCTCGCTACGAGCAGCAGATATTATTAAGATTCTGTAGGCTATTACAGCGTAGGTATTTTCGCTTTTGTATGGAAGTGATGTATCTGTTGGTAAACTATTTATTAATATGTGACTATAGGGAGGGTGGCTTAAAGTTTCGCAGCTGCACTTGTATAAGGAAGCCAACGCAACATGATTCTTATGAACGGATTCGGAACGGAGAATTTAATCATTGAAAGCTAAGATTTGCTGAACCCTATGGAATTGTGGCAATATTGATCAAGGTGACTTATTTCGTGAGCCGCACGACAGCGAAGCAACAAAGCCGAGATTTTCTTTTATTTAACTCATTTATTAAACAGTCGCAGATTAACGAAATTCCCGCATTTACGAGCTACATCGCAATGCGCTGTGAACATTGAATGTCATTTAAATGATATACGTGTATATTGGTAAAGTCGTTCAATGTGCAATTCAATGTGCTTTTCAATGGAATTGTTTCAATTTGATTGAACCGTGTAATATCGGATTTAATGTTCATTTCCCGATTGACTTGTTTATACCGTGATAACTCAAAGGTTAATGAACCGATCCTAAGATGCTTAAACTTGATATTTATGGTTGTGATGAGTCACCGTGTAGTGAGAGTTAAAAAAATCCCCCTCCCCTCTCTAATCCCTCCATTACGCAAAATTTTTGACCCGCTCTCGTAATGATGGTACCGTGCATAAATATTAGGAATTGCAAGCGTGGGACTACAATTGTTACACGCCCGCGCCCCCCTTCTGTGCAATTATGGCATATTCCCTCTACTTCGAAAGATCCACATCCAGTTGTGGGCTATTTGGGCTAATAATGATGATGACATGTAATTCGATCCTTAAAGACAAATCTTTCCAGATCCTTCTTTCTAACGACAAGAATTTATGCAATAAGGCTTCTATAAATAACATCAAGCGGATCGGCCTCGATGAGTTGAGACCCTTGTTAGAGAGCAAACCCCAGCCTGTGGTGGACCCCGGCTTGTATGCCAGTGTGAAGCATTACGAGCATACAATGTATCAACTGTTGGCTAATATTTTGGAGGTGAGTTTTTTTATGTACATATTGTGTAATATTTTTTTAAACTGAAATTACAGCCAAACTACAGTCCACCTTTTGGGCTTGGGAGGAAAAGGGAAAATCCCGCCGGGCAAGGTGTTCTGCCCGGGGAACGGCCAACGTTCCATGTGTTATTTCGAAGTTTTTCTATACACAACATATAATATAATTAACGCACATCCTGAAAGTAATTTATTAAGAATCATTTACTGGTTTACTGAATCGATTTCTATCATTCTTAATATAGGTAATTTTCTGTCCCAACAATAATTGAAACTACGTAAATTACAGTAACACTAAACTTGCACAGTTAAAACAAACTGAAATGGATGGTAACTCAAGGCAATAAAACATTTAAAAGTACAGTTTTATTTGTATTTATACAAATTCCGTCATTTAATACAAAATAAAGAAAAATGAACCCTATTTCAAGCACGTTAAAGTCTTTGCGTTCGTGGATTTGTACTGTGACCACAACATTCTTCCGGAATTAGTATAACTAATATAATAAATGCATAAACATGTTTAACTAAAAAGTCAGTTTATGTATTGTCATTATAACATAATGTACTAATTAGGGTTCTGAGGGTGTGCGTTAATTACGTTACGTGTTGTATAGCGCGGTAGCTTCTATGCAAGAACTGTTAGGTGGCAGACCCACATTGTCTACTAGGCAGGATAGAAGTCCTGCCATCTGTTATTGTTTTATTTACGTGTCAATGAAGGTCTACTTAGTCTTTCATCCTGAGTGTTGTGTTTACGACAAATTCTTCTACAATGTGAGATACCAATATTATAATTGTATAAATTAATATATTGTAAATTAATTTTATTTAAAAAGAAGCCCCGTTCAGTTTCTTGGTGGTTCTTCCCAGGACAGAGGCTTTTTCCGAACCAGTGGTTAGGGATAAAACGATACTATTGGGGTATCGATACTTTACGATACAGTGTGGGTCGTAAAGTATTGATACTTAGTATTTGTTTTTATAGAATAAGGGTGACAAACGAGCAAACAGTCAGTGGATGCGGGGTGGAGTTAGTGTAAGCTGTGGCCCATAGACATCTACATTTATTTTTGATTAAGAATCAAAATGCAGATGCTTTGTTGCCCCTGAGGACTAAGATGGAATGCCTCGTTTCCAGTTAAAAGGGTCCCCGGTTCTCTACACTCACCATACGAAACACAGTAGAATTAAGCTGCTATTTTATGCTTGTATTCTGTCATATCGTTCGAAAAGTATCAATACTTTTTCATATCGATTTTTATTTAAAATTGTGAATAAACAAGTATTGATATTCTTTATCGATACGAAATAATCAGCAGCATGAGCCGTGGTAGCTTAGATGGTTAGCGCTCGCTGTAAATTTCACAGTACGCGAGCAAACCGGGTTCGATCCCCGCCGGCACCAATGAAATTGTTAATTGCAATTTTAAGTGCTGATTTACCACGTGCTCGGCGGTGAAGGAAAACATCGTGAGGAAACCTGCATGTCTGAGAAATAAGAAAAAAAATTCGAAGACATGTAAAGTTCGCCAACACGTATTGGGGCAGCGCGGCGGACACTTCCTTGCCCTAAAACCCTCTCAGAAATGAGGGGAGGCCTGTGCCCAGCAGTGGGACGTATATAGGCTGTAACTTTACTTTACTTTACTTATACGAATACATAAGTCGTAAAAGAATTCTATGAAAAAGTTCGTTTTTGTGGTGCTCCTCAATAATATTAGTTTTTAGCAGACAGTTTTTTTTTCTCTCGGGCATTGACTAACAAGTTTGCCAACTACATAAAACTAACAAAACTAGGACTGGGATGAGCTCAAAACTTTCAATATATGATACACTAAATATTTTTATTAGCATAGATGAGTGTGTTACCTATTCATCAATATGTTAACATAAAATTGTGATATATCACATAAGGACTTGATATCGGACGGAATGTATTGAGTAAGTACTTGTACTTACTCATTATCTTTTTTTTACTCATATCGTTTCATCCCTACCAGTGGTAAAAATAAAAAATGACGTGTATGTAAAAATTATATGCATAATAGGAGTTACATGTAATCTATATTGAATCAAAATAATTCTATTCTATTCTATTCTAAAGAAAAATGCCCAGCTTTGTGTTGTTCACGGGAAAAATTAGAAGCCGAAGTGATTTACTAATGTTTTGTTTCAGAACGAGATGAGGGCCAAGTACAACACTCTCTGGCAGCATGTTGTGTTCAAGGCGCCACCCTGGTCACTGTGTGATGTACTGCAGTGTCTGCTCAAGCATTGGATCGCCGTGTTCCACGAGGTATTCCCAAGGATCGAGCATGTGCTTACCGACCTCAAGAATTCTCTCACTTTTATACAGAACAAAGGTATGTTTGCGCTAAATTAAGACCACCAAGTAAACAAACTTTCAGGGGTTCATAACATTTTTACATTGATGTTTAAAGATAATTAGAATTAAAATATTAACTTTTTAACCTTTATTGTCGTTTACTCTTAGACCATTGAACCCAATGGACGAGTAATGCGCCTAATGCTACGAACAAAAAATTCTGTCACTATTGGTCTTTTGGTTTTGTCACACACCTACTACACAATACTAAACAATAAAATTTTGTGTCATTATGGCACACACAAATCTAAATCTCCAACACTATTATATTTTACGCACACATGTAGGTTAAATACATCAGCATAAAAAAGTTATCGAATGTAAGAGAAATTAATGGTAATGCTACCATATCGATATTTTATATCGATAGTTTCTCTAAGAAAAAGAGAAAATCTCACAAGCATTAGTAAAGTACATTCGAACAATTAAAATCATCTTTTTAGTTGGTCAGCGTAGTAAGTTTTTTTAAGGTTCCATAGTAACACAACAAGGAACGCTTAGTACAGAGACTTCTAAAGAGGCATGGTTAAACATGAATACCCGACATAAATAGGCTCTAAATACCAAAAACAAAAAGTGAAGGAACTTATGTTTTAAATAACAAGCTCTCATCACAAAAAAAAATAGTTTTAAAATCGACATTTGTATTATTAGAATAAAATGCTTTTGTGAAACAAAAATAAAGTGTCTCAACTTATTAATTAGTACAATAAATATAAAGGAATAAAATTATAAATAAAATTAAAAAAATATTAATTTGGGGCTGATATTAGAGACATCGTCTATTTTAAAACGGTATTCAAAGAAAAAAGTTACAAGTTTGCAAGAAGTTCTAGATTCGCTGACAGATACATCTGTAGTAAATAAATAAAACAAACAGGTCCTAGAAAAGATAGGAATTGAAGCAAGCGAAATGTTAAAAAGGCAATTAATAGAAACTTAAAATTAACATTGGAAAACTGCCCTGAACTAAATATTTTATTTTATTCTTATTGGAAAACTTACAGCTAACATTAACAGTAAATAAATGAATAACAACTAGAAGGCCATTTAAAAGTTTTCACGTATAGACATTATGAACTTAAAAAACAATAATTTTAGTCAGTAAAGGATAAACATCGATTAAGACAATTACAGCAAATTAATAAAATTAAACAGAAGAGCACTCAACAAAAGAATTTTTTGATTCGAGAATCACTGGTATTAAACAAATCCAAAGCAACGCTATTGAAAATGTCGTTAAAAGTTCTACATGCACGTATCGTAAAAGAATTTTGCCTGTATTTAGTCTTGGTATACGGCACATGGAGTATGCGAGGCTTTCTTAATTGGAGAACTCTTGTTGTAAATCTTAACTTACTTAGTAGCTCCAGACATATATCTCCGGTCAATATTACCATTTGCCAAGTTAAAAAGATAAATCATGTCTGATTTGCGCCTACGTTCGTACAGAGGCAAAATATGAAATTTTTTACACTGTGAAATGTAGTTATCAGTCTAAAATGGCGTCTTAAAAGAAAACAGGCAGAAAACGTAGAACATGCTTTTGTACTTGCTCAATCCTATCTATATAAATGAAAATAATATTCTAAATAATACTTTCCAAAGTTAAGATGTTTCGCCCTAATACGTAATTAATACTCACCAAAACTTTATAGATATGTAAGTACAAGTTTTTCCTATGCCTAATTGCATTCAAACAGATTCAAGTTTAAAAATTTTTTTTACTCCTTCAGGCCACAACGACTTAGTTTCAGAGTATCCAAATCTGTTATTTGGGTACTCTGAATTTACAGAAGCTACATTTGTCCCGGAAAATTAAAAAGTTAACAGGAACTTTTTAATTTTCACTTATCTACGTGGTCACAAGACGCGGGTATCATTTAGATAACAAGTAAAATAAGTAAATATATTTTAAATATAATAATTAAAGGAAGTTTTAGTAGACGTATCTATAGTTTTTTTTGTTGAATTTATTTAATCTAAGGACAAAAATTGTTCATTCACACTTTTATTATAATAATAGGTAATCTTCTTTAGTTGAATGTTTGATGTTATATTTTAATGTGTTTTCAATGAATAATAATGAAAAATTATCGATATCGATCCGCACATCACAGTCACATCACAAATCAATATGACACCTTTTCCAATTAACTAACCCTACAGTTTTCGCTTGGATTACAACAGTAAACCACTGTAAAATAATCTCTAATTTGGATTTCTGTAACCAAATGATTAGGAAAAAATATGTAAACTGATTTCTGATCTAACTTTGAAATGAATGTGATGTTTTTATATTTAATATGTAAAAGATTTTTTAAATATTATAATTTGAATTAAAAAGGAGGTATAAATGGTTTTTGTTAATTAAGTATGATTAACCGTTGACTAAATGTTACTCTGTTTCATATTTATAATAAAATAAAAAATAAAACATGCGTGCAACTCACACGCGACAGAAGTGAAACCTTCAAATGAAATGAAATATAAAATACAAATACTTTAAATGATTTATTTAGTATTATAATTTAAACTACAAGTTAGGCATAAAATATAAGAAAATTTAATTTAATAGTAAATAAATGTAACAATCTTTTTAATATATATATATATATATATATATATATATATATATATATATATATATATATATATATATATATATATATATATATATATTAGACACCGATATTATATTACTCCTTTCGATATACTTTATATAGTATTCACTAATTACAAAAAAATTTATATTAATTTTACCAATTACGAAATTGAGGTTTGGCCGTTCTTCACTGCTTGTTTAATCCATAGGCACATGTTTAATCCATAGGTACACGACACCTTGGTACATTGTTGAACAAAACGCGTAACGACTTTTTTCTCGCGAGCATTGAGATGATCTATATGCTTCCTATCTCATTTTCTCCCACATTAAATCTTATGAATTTATGTGTCTGTCTTTTTTTACTGTCGCTTTTTCATTTCATAGACTTTCAAATCACAAAGAAGTTTTCATTTGAAAATACATTTTAGTTGATATTTTAACTTTTAACGATTACTTCTTATTTTAAATTGGACTACATACGTAATTCACGCGACCATTTACGTTATTTTATAAGGTGAACCGCTCCAGGGTTAAATAATCTCGTTATACTTTTATTGTTTATATGTTGCTAATATAAACTAGTCTCGTAAGGAGTGCCGTTGTGCTTGCGTATTCAATTTTAAACCTAATTTGTAACATATAAGTGTTGACTTTAAAAAATATGCATATAACTAATCTCGTGGGTAATCTCACATTTCGATTACCACTATGATGTTTATGAAATATTATGTACTCGATTATCTTATTGGTAAAGTTCTAGATTATTATTTACGATATTATTTTAAATTATTGTAATAGAAAGAAAGCATATATAACAATAAAAATATTTACATATGGAATGTAACTACATCCTTTTGTAAATTTGAAGTATTAGACTTCTTTTTGCAGACGTTAACCGCACAAATCGGCATTTTTTTAAAGAGCACATACAACGACGGAAACGATTCTTGTAATGACGAAATCGATTCCGTAAAAAGTTGTTATAAACGCACAAGATTTTTAAATCCAATACATGCGCAGTGGGGAATAATCATGTGAGGCGAGTCCATTGGGTTGAATGGTCTAAGCGTTTACTGTTTGTTAGTCTTACAGAGTCGTCGTCAGCCTTGGCGCCTATAATTTAATTCAAAAGTTTTGATAGCATTTGCCGGTTAATTTTTACTTTATAACCAGTCTACATAGCTCATTAACTACCCGATCCCATCCTTGCGTCCGGGGGTGTTGTAAAAGGTAACAGAAGGGAACTGAAACAAAAAATAGACAGAAGATAAGACTTCAGCATCTTTCTAATAACAATTTAAAATTCTAAGTCTGTGGTTGCCAACTTGCTTACCAAGCGTGGCAACTATATCAAAATCCCTATGAGGCAATCTATGGGAAGGCCTACGTTCAGCAGTGGCTTTTATAAGTTGTAATGGAATGGAAAATGTAGCAAACATAATATATTTATTATTATTATCAAACAATTTTTAAAAATAATGCTGACTTCAATAGATTTGGTAATACTGAGATTTAGTAAATAAAGTGATTTTTTTATTAATACGCAAATTAATTCTCTTTGCCGGGCGTACTATTTAAGTGACAGTTGACAGATATTTATGTTCCTATTCCTAGTTGAATCGCATTGTATAACCTACTCAATAAAAAAAGAATCATCACATTGATATCTGACGAAGATGTCGCGTACATATAAAAACATACATCAAATTATTTATCTCTTCCTTTTTTTAAGTTGGCTGAAAAAGCTGCGAATTACATTTAATAAAAACTGAGAAAGGACATTGGTGAACTCCCAAACAAATTTTTGTTGACACTTTTTCTTGCGTCTCCAAATGAAAAATTTATCATCAAATTCACATCAGATTAGGCTGTATGCTATAAGAATTTTGTCGGCCTTAATTGGCAAATTGTTAAAACTACTAGTCAATATAGTTTTTAATTATGCTTAAATAGAGTAATTACTAGCATAGAGGGAATCTTAAAATAATGCATTAGTATATTGGGAAGAGTTTTGTGAATAAAATACACATCAGACTAGGCTGTATGGTGTAAGACCTTTGCCTGCCTTAAATGGCGAAATGCAACAACTATAGTCTTTGCGTTGTAGCATGGTGCGAATAAAAAAATAGGAAACCTCATAGGCTCACGCCTATGAATTGTTGTACTTCATGGATGAGTACCGCCCACTTACGAGAGTGATGTGGCTCTCTAAATTATGCCATCCCATAATGAACAACCACAGACTATCAAGAATCGATTTTGAAATAAATCGAATATATACAAATCACGTAAATATTTATTTAAATTATAACTAATCGTTCAACAAATTTTGATTTAAAGACAAAAATGCACATAGACGAATATACAGTGTTTCCAATACATGGACGATAAATTATTCGTTGGTCAGCTCAGGCAAAAAGAATAATTAAAAATGTGTTAAAAAGACTTGGCTACAAGTGCCTATTTTGTATTTTTATTAATTGCATTGGATTTGAAAACCAAATTCTCGATAATTTTTACCTTCCGTCCCGATATTTAGCCTATTGGACCTGGCAAAATTAATACACATACATATAGAGAAAGGCGCTAGTACGCGTACCTTGAAAAGATACCGGTGCAGTCAACGCCGTACGGAAAACAGGTACAGATGCTGGCAGCCATTTTCTTTGTTTAAATGTTAATATGAATGTTGTAATTAACATGAAATATAAGATGATTTTTATTTTGAAATTAATACATATCTATAGTTATACATTGAGGTGTCTGTTCGTAATTTCCAAATACCAGCCTTTTACTAAATGCACATGAAAATTTTATATTGTATTTATAACAAAAGACTAACACAATTTTTAAAATAAACTAGCTTGCCAGGCAGATGTTGTTCTGCCCTTTTCGACGACCGTTTGTCATGTCCTATTAAAAATCCTTAAATTTGCAAAAAAAATTGTGTTTCACTCATGGGCAAAAAAACAATCCTATCTCTCAAGTTGGGCCAAATTGCACATAGTGTGCAAATTTGATTAAAATCGGTTAAGTAGTTTAGGAGTCCATCGCGGACAAACAACGTGACACGTAATCTATATATATTAAGATTGTCTGTCTGTCTGTTTGTTCCAGCTTATAGTTGACACTAGCAGATAGGTGATGTTATAAGAAGTAACACAGGCTTCTTTTATTTTAGAAAATGAATTAGGATTCCGCGCAAAAAAATGAAACCTATAAAATCCAACCGTAATAAACAACACGCGAGCGAGGTCGCGGAAACAGCTATTTTAACAGCTTGTTTATAAAAATAAAAAGTTTATAAATATGTTTCGGTTTTAGTTTTTATATCGATAGCTAATCGATAATTTTTGCTTTGCTTTGTGTATCCATAATCGCCTTTTTTAAAATCGATTTAACGTTGTTCATTTCTAGACACGCCAAACTGTAAGCTGTCACCCGCACCATGCTATAACGCAAAGACTATAGTTAATTTAATTTTAAATTATGTATGATGATTTATTTCCCTAGTTCGATAGGACTTAAGCATGATTAGAAAATACACAGTAAATTATTTTATTGGTATCTATCTTACAGACGGTGACATAAGTAGAAACTTAATAATTTCTACAGCAATTTTTTCCCCACTGTCCTTTAGCATCGAATAAAATTGGCTTGAAAAAATATCAGTATTTCTTCTTGACCAAAACTCTTACTTGACTTAAAGCGATAGATTATAAATATTTTTTATATATTCTTATACAAATTGTAATGCCACTCATTAGACAGAAAACAGAAACAGCCTATATACGTCCTAGTGCTAGGCACAGGCTTCTCATTTTTAGAGGGTTTTAGGCCAGCAAATGTCCGCTGCGCTGCCCCAATTCGTGTTGGTGATTTTCGCATGTCTTCGAAATATATTTTTTCTTATTTCACAAACATGCAGGCTCGTGATGTTTTCCATCATCGCCGAGCACGTGGTAAATCGGCACTTAAAACTGCAATTAACAATTTTATTGGTGCCGGCGAGGATTGAACTCGGGTTGCTTGCGTAATGTGAACTTTACAGCGAATGCTTAGCCCCTGAGCTACCAAGGCTCATTATTCATTCGATAATTGGTTTAATTTCTGTTTCAGATCCCCAAGCTCTATCACAATCGGAAGTGTCGAATTTCAAAGAGCTATGCATGGACATAGCCAAGAAGTGTCAAATAATACCTGAATATATGGAACTGGCGAAAAGCACAGTGGAGCGTCTTGTGAACACGAGTGCGAGCGAAACGCACTGCGGCAGTGAGAGCAAGACAATCGTCGACGCATTTGAGAGCGTTTGGACAGTTTTCTCTAGTTACTGGTGAGTGTAAAATATAACCTATTGCTCCTGCACATTCATTCATTCAGCCCATATACAATCTACTGCCGAACATAGGCTTCCCCCATAGCCAGTGGCGGAGTTAGGGCTCCAAACTAGGGCAAGCCCAAGATATGGTTTTGTTGTTTTTAGCAGTTTTATAAAAATACACTAATCTTGATCAGTCTCCACTCTTCAGGCTCATATTCAGTGCTGTCAAGGACGTGTTTAACAAAGCACACAGAAGGCATACGAGGGTGGCACTGAAAATTTCGGGAATCAAGGAAGTGACACAACATTACTATTTAAAAATGTATTTATTACTTTTCGAAGTATTCTCCGCGAAATTTGACACATTTTTCCATACGATGGAACCAATCATTGAAGCAACCATTCCATTCGGAAGTGGGGGTCTCCAAAATGGCCGTTTTGTAGGCGTCCACAGCTTCTTCAGGTGATGAAAAATCTCTGTCCACGCAATTTATTCTTTATTTTAGGGAAAGTATAGAAATCATTAGGGCTTAGGTCGGGGCTGTAAGGCGAATGGTCTAATAATTCTATGTTTTCTTGCTCTAAAAACTCTTTTGTTCTGTGTGCGGTGTGAGAATTTGCATTGTCGTGATGGAGGATGATGCGGCGGTTGCAGTTCTCTTTACGGAGTTTAGAAACGACCTGTGGCAAACAAATGCTAGCATACCATTCTGCATTAAACGTTCTTTGTCCCTCAAGAAGAATAGTCGTAACATGGCCGGTTTTGGAGACAAACGTGGCCACCATTTTTTTCAACTCATTTTCGAACACCCAAACTCGTGACTGGTTTTTTGTTTCGGGTTCATCACCAAATGCTTGAATCATCCGGTCAACACATTGTTTTTGTGTTAAACCACTTTGAAAGTCATAATAAATCATCGCTCTTGAATTTTCTCGAGTCAATTCCATTTTCTCAACGACTAAACAAGTTTGACAAAACTTTGTGACAAGACCGAAAATCTTTTTCTAAATAAATAAATGGTATTCGATTTTTAAAACCAAGGAGTTTTCAATTAAAAAGATTTTAATATGACAGGAACAGTGGAAATATTCCATTCCCGATACTTTTAGTGCAGCCCTCGTACTACCGCTAGATAGATGTATGGCATATCATAAATTGCATATCTTCGGTGGCTTTGAAAAGAGCAGGGTTTGCTTGAGCGAAAGAAAAAGATATTTACATACAATATAATACACGAATAAAAGAAAAGTATGAACAAAGTAAACAATGTACAAAATTACAAAAAAAGGGACGTCGGGCAGATGCGAAACATCGAAATAGAAGGACAGATTACGACAGGAATTAGATATGGTATAATGAAAAGATAAAGGATTTCAAATTTTATTTCCATAAAATAATGACTGTTTATTATATAATTATTCATTTTAAATTTTAATAAACGGTAAAAAATGATATTTTTAACTCATATGGTAATATAAATATTGAATTATTAAACAAAAAAGACTCACCTATAGAATTAAGTAGATAGCGCTATTAAAATTTTATATGCCGAAGGACTAAAGGAAATATTCTTTAAAAACTTCAATACACGTATTCTTTTGATTTATTACATTAAAATTTACATTCAAAACATTCTTCACATTAAAAAAAAGATTGTAACAATTATTTGCTATAAAATTAAACTTATACCTATCTCATATTTTATGCTGCCGTTCAAAATTATATTTTTAACTCATATGGTAATATAAATATTGAATTATTAAATCACCTATAGAATTAAGTAGATAGCGCTATTAAAATTTTATATGCCGAAGGACTAAAGGAAATATTCTTTAAAAACTTCAATACACGTATTCTTTTGATTTATTACATTAAAATTTACATTCAAAACATTCTTCACATTAAAAAAAGATTGTAACAATTATTTGCTATAAAATTAAACTTATACCTATCTCATATTTTATGCTGCCGTTCAAAATTATATTTTTAACTCATATGGTAATATAAATACCATAGAATCCTCCATAGAAGCCCAGAAGCCGGGCTTGCTCTATCAAACTGCTCAATCAATAATATCAACTAATAAAATAACTCGTAAACTGTTTCCTACTATTTTAAATTTCCCGCGCACTCCTCTTTTCTAGACAGGTCATGACCTCGTAACATATATGTAACGATAATACTTGGCAGTTTTCTTTCAATTCGAAATACACTGGACTGTCAAAATTAATGAAAGGAAGGAATTGATTTTGTCGTCTTTTGGATTTTGTTGGCTTTTTACCGGGCTTTCGAGAAGACGATCGCTCCCTTTCTAACCTGTGGTAAAATTATTTATAATGAAATATAACTACGAAATGTTCATATAACAATTAGTATGGAACCAAAAGCTGGGCTTTGCTATGAAGTTGTTTAGGAGTACGCTAGCGAGTGAGCATGCGGGCGATACGTTTGCAAGTTCTCTTTTCAATGTTTATGTTTGCTTTTGTTGTGTCTGTTGGAAATTTATGCTTTTTCAAAGATTTTTAGTGAAAATGGGAGTATAATAGTGTTCCTTGTGATGATTTGAAGTGTGTTAAAGTGCTAATCAGCGAGGAAAAGTTAAAATTTTTAAAAATGAAATTTTAATTCAATAAACATTTTATTTATACCTTAATAGGTACAGGACTCTTTAGTGTTAAAGATTAATTAAGCTAGGCGTATTTAAAGGGTATTTATTTATTTGAATTTGAAGTTATCACATTAAATGAAAAGACATATCCTACATAACGTTCTTTTCACATACATAACTAAAAGAAATGTAAAAATTAACATCCTAGTCCCAGTAGCCTCTTTTTTCGATTTAATATTAAACAACATCATGTAAATGCATATATTTATCACCTGACGAATACTAAAGGGTCAAAGACCCAAGGCCAGCAAAGGCGAAGATACCTAGTTCAAACGTTGCCATTCCGAATTACAAAAATAAAGGAAAAATCAAGCAAAAATATACTTAAGACTAACGATATAAGGCATAATTCTTGTGCACGAAATTAACAAAGAAAAAAACAAAGGGACCGCGTGATGCGAGTGTGTGAAAACAAATTCCAAGCAAAAATATTTACTTATAATAGATGTCCGAAGGCATAATTCGCTATGTGTGAAGTGATAAGAAATGGAAGGGAGAGGTGTGAAGATGCGTGTTGTTTATATTCAAATTTCTCTGCCGCATGGGACGATGATTTAAGTCACTTAGTCCGACGCCGGTACCCTTGGGTGGTTCATGAGTCACTTGACCTAATTTTCGCGTAGGCGTCCTTTGAGTTTTAATTGTTGGTTTTTAGTTTTGTGGACATTTTGATAAGTTTTTTGATTTGTTTGTTATAGGACACTTTAATAGGATAATAATAGTTGTGATAAGGTGGTGTGACAGTTTGTGCGAAATTGGACGCTTACTTTTACTGTTTTATATTTTTTATTTGTGATAGGACACGTTTAATACGCTAGATAAAAAACATATTTAATAACTTAGTGAAGTGGTGTAACAGCTCGCTTAAAATTGTACGCTTTTTCTTTTTAACGTTTTAACTTTTATAAGTTTTAAGATGCCTCGTGTCAATTTCACGACGTCGGAATACTTTTTGAAAATCTAAAAGTTTAATTAGATTTATTTATTAAACAATAGTGACCGATAAGAGTGATTATTTGGATAAAAACAATACCATAAAGTCTGTGATTTGTTTATAACATCTCATGAGCATCGTCTTACACGTGCCTAGTTGCCTATGTATGGGCAAATGTAGGTAACCTTTGTCAATGCCGCCGTGTCGTCGCGATGTTGCCGCTTATACAGGTCAGTAAACTAATATTATCCAGGATGATTTATTTCGTGTAATTTTTTACGCTATTTATTTTGTTTGAAAGATGCACTTTTTGTCTTTTGGTATTATGGTTTATTTGATTATTTCAACAGGCGTATATCAACTTGCATTAACTGCTGTGCTATAAAATGCGATAACCTAATCGCCACCCAGTATATTACCATATGAGTTAAAAATATAATTTTGAACGGCAGCATAAAATATGAGATAGGTATAAGTTTAATTTTATAGCAAATAATTGTTACAATCTTTTTTTAATGTGAAGAATGTTTTGAATGTAAATTTTAATGTAATAAATCAAAAGAATACGTGTATTGAAGTTTTTAAAGAATATTTCCTTTAGTCCTTCGGCATATAAAATTTTAATAGCGCTATCTACTTAATTCTATAGGTGATTTAATAATTCAATATTTATATTACCATATGAGTTAAAAATATCATTTTTTACCGTTTATTAAAATTTAAAATGAATAATTATATAATAAACAGTCATTATTTTATGGAAATAAAATTTAAAATCCTTTATCTTTTCATTATACCATATCTAATTCCTGTCGTAATCTGTCCTTCTATTTCGATGTTTCGCATCTGCCCGACGTCCCTTTTTTGTAATTTTGTACATTGTACTTTATTCATACTTTTCTTTTATTCGTGTATTATATTGTATGTAAATATCTTTTTCTTTCGCTCAAGCAAACCCTGCTCTTTTCAAAGCCACCGAAGATATGCAATTTATGATATGTCATACATCTATCTAGCGGTAGTACGAGGGCTGCACTAAAAGTATCGGGCATGGAATATTTCCACTGTTCCTGTCATATTAAAATCTTTTTAATTGAAAACTCCTTGGTTTTAAAATCGAATACCATTTATTTATTTAGAAAAAGATTTTCGGTCTTGTCACAAAGTTTTGTCAAACTTGTTTAGTCGTTGAGAAAATGGAATTGACTCGAGAAAATTCAAGAGCGATGATTTATTATGACTTTCGAAGTGGTTTAACACAAAAACAATGTGTTGACCGGATGATTCAAGCATTTCGTGATGAACCCGAAACAAAAAACCAGTCACGAGTTTGGGTGTTCGAAAATGAATTAGCAGATAATTATTAGATATTAACCGACGTAGCGCAACAGATCAGTAAGCTGAAGTGGCAATGGGTCAGCTAATATAGTTTGAAGAACTGACAATCAAAGTTTTACCGCAATTTGGTGAACGGTATGGCGTATCAAATATATTTATAAATAGATTTTAATTAATTAATTAACTGTAATTCGAAATTTTTGTTTTTATTTTTTGTAAAATATCAGTGCCATAGGCTTCTTTCTGTTCACATGTTACACCTTATTTTTTCCAGACGGTAAAAAAGGTTATCCAATATATATATATATATATACGACCATTTGTCCTTTAAATCTTTAAATTCGCAATAAAAAATATTGAGGGTCACTTATATTAACTATCCTATCTCTCAAGTAGTACCAAACTTTATTACGTGGTAGAGCCATGCTATGCTGCAGTTATATTAGTAATATAGTTGTAGCATGAATGGGTCGGCTCGACCGGGGAAAGACCACGCTCTCACAGAATACCAGCGTAAAATAGTAGCTTAATGCTGCTGTGTTTCGTATGGTGAGTGGAGAGAACTGGAGACCCTTTTTACTGGAAACAGGCATTCCATATTGGTCCTCACGGGTGACAACGTATCTGCATTTTGGTTCGTAATCGAGGATAGATGTGGATGTCTAGGTGGACAGGTGGACTGTGTGTTCGATTCCCTATCCTATAAAAAAAACTGCTTACAGTGTGCAAAAACTAATAGGACTAAATGTCGTCGGAAAGTGCAAAACAACGTCTGCCTGGCAAACAACTATTCAATAACATCCAAACTATAAAGATCTTTTAATATACAAAGGTTAATGTTTGTTTTTTCGTATTTTACGCACAGCCATATCGTTCACCAGATTGCGATAAAACTTTGTCAACTTATTGCTTGCACTTGTGCGACGGTATATGCATGGTACTATTAACTTACACTAGGTGGCGCGCGTGTCTTACTGACAATTTATTTGAAAGTTATATCATTCAATTTCAATGAATGTATTGTCATTCCTAATTAAACAATATAACTCTTTCAAATTTAAAACGATATTTCCACAATTCTGCGGCAGCAACGCGCTGTGTGAGCCGTGGGCAGGGTAGATGCGCTCGCCGTTACAACAACTAAACGATTGCAGAGTGCGCAATAGTGAAAGAAATATCGTGAGGAAACGGACATGTCTGAGGAATATCTATCTATACAAATAAATAAAATTGAAGTATCTGTTTGTAATGTCAAAATAACAGCTTTTTACTAAATGCATATGAAATTACATACGGTACTTATAACTAAAACATTTTTTTAAATTTAGTCTGTCTCTCTTCGTTCCCTCTAATCTCCGAAACGCCTGGATCGATTTTTACGGGACTTTCACTAGCAGATAGCTGATGTTTTAGGAAGTATCTTAGGCTACTTCTATTTTAGAAAAATAATTAGGGTTCCGCGCAAAAAATTCAAACCCACGAAATAATTGAAAGTCGCGGGGAACAACTAGTATAATATATAACATATCGATAGCATGTGAAGTCCGCTAACACGCATTTGAATGGGGCGGCTTTGTAATTGCTCTTTGAACTAGAAATTAAATGTATGTGTCCTGTGTTGGAAACTATATAGGCTGCAACTTTTTATAGTTAGTTTGACTTTTACAGTGCAAAGTTGTCGACGTGCCTGGGTGTACCACATAGCCTGGAGGACCATCTTGCCGGCAACGATACTCTTGAAATGCTGACAAGTAAATGGGCCATGTTCAGGAATCAGCTCAACACACTCAGCCATGCTATTAAAGGGTGAGTGTTGCTTAATATATCTGTGGGGTGAACCAAGGTGACCTACAATTTTTAACGCTAATAGAAAACCATATAAATGAATGGGAATGTCATATCACAACAGTCCGTGACTAGGTCACGAGGTCTACTTGACTGTAATGTAATTTAACATCCTCTCTCATTAACGGATAGTTCCATTGCCCACATATACGCGGTAGAGCCATGCTCTTTACGTCGTAGAGCCGTGCTCTTACTTGGTAGAGCCATTTTGCTGCTGTATTATGGTTGTAGCAGGAATGGGTCGGCTCAACCGAAACAGGACTACGCTCATACCTAATACCAGCAAAAAATAGCAGCTTAATGCTAATGTGTGTGTATGTTTGCGTTACACATATATTATTTTTATTATAATTCTGTTTTTTTTTTTAATTACAATGTGTTATGTATGTAGATGTAAGTGTTGGAAGAAATGTCTTTATGTCTTTATTTATTTCATATAGTGTTCGTACATATTCTATAACCAATATAATACATTATAATTGCCATGCTTTAAAGGCGAATTACCAGAAGTTGCATCTTTGACTTTTTTTTCTGTCGCTTTACTGTATTACCATAGTACTGTCACAGTCACACTACTACTAACAGTCAGTCATCGAAGACATCAGTTCAACAGATGGAGTGGCTAAGGATGTATATTACAGTAGACTATATTCTATAAATAATTTTATAACTATTGTATATGATATTATTTATGAACACCAATCATCTGATCAGTTAATTATTTTGTTAAAACGATTAATAATAAAATCAGTTTAATATGTTTTATTTTTTCCGTTGTGACAACCTTAGCAATTTTTATTCGTCGACTTATCCGACAACATCAAACGCGATGATTGACTGTATGTTCTTAGACTGTGGTACAGTTTCACTTGCCGGCTATCAGCGGTTATGAAATTTTGTTTAGTATTTTTATAGTTTCCTATTACGACACCCATAAGACGAAGTTGGGCTATTGATGATCTTAAACGGCAATTCACCGCTACCATATTTCTGTAATTGATAATTTGTATTGTGTAAAAATGAAATATATTCATATTTTGTACTGGTTAACAACGAACGATAACGATATAGTGCGTGCGGAAAATGACGTCGTAAATGTTAACTGAGAGCTTGACCGTTTCTATCTAAACGGTGAAGTTTCTTCAAGCATCTTGTCTGTAACGGGGGAAGGTATATTAGGTTTAATTGAAGAATGGAATGCTTTGAAAAGTTAGCGAGTTTTACAGGAAACTGTGGAGAGTCAAGGTTCTTAACTTTTATTCAAACGCCTTTTGGCTTGCTTACTTTTCGAGTCCAAGACCCGTGCCTGGTATTTGGCACAACTAGACCAGTTCAGTACTCAAGTCAGTCAATAAAGACTGGACATGCATATATAAAAATACTGTCTTTGAGTGAAGTATCGCCATTCAGCAAGTTTCTTTGGTAAAAACGAGGCTTGGATATTAATGTTTTCATTATTAAGAGGCTGCAAATAGTCTACTGCTGGGTACAAACCATTCTCGAATGAGGTTTGCCGCAATCGTCACACGAAATGTGTAGGCGCTGGCAATCATAAACATTTTGCCATGCAGTGTAGAGGTCAGGAGAACCGTCTCATATGGTTAATATATATAGTAACTAAAAGTATGAGTAGATGGGTATGTCGCAGCGAGCCGTTTGTAGGTTGCTTACCCTTTGGTCGGTTTCTTTACTCATGTGATATTACTGTATTTACGGCTACTTTGCATACCCCATTGAACACATACCACGAATCTGTGAGGCCGGGTCAACCCGGAATGACCACGTTCTAACAGAATACTAGCGTGAAATAGCAAATTCAATGCTGCTTCCTTCGTATATTGAGTGTAGAGTACCGGCGACTTTTTATTGGAAACAAGGCATTCCATCTTAGTACTTAGGGGAAACAATGCATCTGCATTTTGATTCATAATCGAGGATAGATATAGATGTCAATGGACATCAACCACTTACCATCAGGTGGACTGTATCACCCCTATCTTATAAAAAATTTCTTTTTATTTACATATATATATATATATATATGTGTGTGTGTGTGTGTGGTAACATATATAGTATAGAAATAGTTTAAAAAGTGTCCATCCGTAAGCAGTAAATAACAGTTCAAAAACTCATCACAACAGTGCTAGAGTAACCAGAGTGTATGAAATGAACTTAGCAGTTGTTGACGAATTTAATGTTTGTGGTTACAAATATAACATAGAAAATGTCACCGTGAAACGCGTTGAGAGTGATTTTGAAAATAAAAAAATTGAAAACAATAAAATAATTATTATAAAAAAGAATTATGGTGAAGGTTTGCGCAATAAAAGTTAATAATATTTTTCGGTACGTTCTTTAAAATGTACCCTCTAGCTACAGTGGCTCCACCCTTATTTAACGCTTTCCTATGGACACTTGTAATACACAGAGACGGTTCTCCTTACGTCTACACTCCGTGCATATTGCATCTTAGATTTACGGTTTTACTCATAATCGTCGTTGATTTATGAACAGCTTATATTTTACTCTGTGCCTCTCTCTCCCTCTCTTTACTAAATGACAGTAGAAAGAGACAGGTATAAAGATAGTACTTAAATATGTCAGTGACAGTTAACAATTATATAAAGGTCAGGCTTCATGCCTGGCATCATCGTAGCTATCGAGATTCCCAAACGAGTTCAAAATTAAGCCATAAATATATTGAAATCATAGATTATTCTAATTGTTACTTTTTTCATATTTTCTTTTTTCAGTGTCCTAAGCATGGAAAATTCAGATCTCATAATGGAGGACCATATAGCCCGTTTGGAGACAGCATTAAAAGACTGCCTCGTTCTCATCTCCATGGACAGTAGCGTTATAGGCAGAGATGATTTGAGGATATTTTGTGTTAGGAATAGGTATGTTCATGTATCCAAAACTATTTTATTTAGTACATTAATATACATGGTAGAGCCATGCTGGACCTATAGCAGTAGTATAGTTGTAGCACAAATGTGTCGGCTCGACCGGGAAGAACCACGATCTCACAGAATACCAGCGTTAAATAGCAGCTGAATGCTGCTGTGTTTCGTATGGTGAGTGTAGAGAACCGGAGACCCTTTTTACTGGAAATGAAGCATTCCATCTTAGTCCTCATGGGTGACAACGCGTCTGCATTTTGAGTCGTAATCGAGGATAGATGAAGATGTCTATCGGCCACAGCAACCACTTATCGTCAGGAGGACTGTGTGCTTGCTTGTCACCCTATCCTATAAATAAAAAATATATGGTTTGTATGACTTAGGAGATAGATGCTTTTCGTAAATTTCACAGTACACAAGCAACTTGGGTTCGAACCCTGCCGGCATCAAACAAATTATTAACTGCAATTTTATGTGCTGATATACTAAATGCTCGCCTCCTGCCACACTTGGCGGGTGAAGAAATACACTTGAACGAAACTTGCTTCCCTATGAAATAAAATATATCCAGGATAAAATATGTACGCTAACTAGTGTCCGACCGAAACTTCGGCTTCAGCTACCTTCGGCCAAAAAAAAAACACCTTCGGTGCAACCTGGCCAACTTGACCAAATCCGAAGGCGCAAAATCTAAAAAAAAAACCTTGTTTTTGTTGCGAATGAGCGAGAGCGCTATGGCCGTTGCGTGGCGTTTATATAAAATTGCATTCTTTTTGGTTATATCTAGATCAACTTCTATAGATAATTAAAAATAATTTTAATAAATTAAAAAAAAATTATTAATGAAAAAAAGCAATTCTGTATAAAACAGTCAATATAATCCTTTAATTTAAAAGTTTATAAATCATTAATATTATTAGTTTTAGCCAATTTTGAATTGAATTTCTAAGGGTTTTTGAGACTTCGGCCTCAGCCGAAGGTTGTGGTGATTGCGTTGTAGCAGCGCGGCCGAATAATTGTTTCAAAAACTCTCCCAGAAATGACATAGAGGCTTGTGCCAAGCCGTGGGACGTACCTATGTATATAGGTTGTATTTTTACTTTATTCTTTCTTCACTTGATTTCGAAATGTTGGCTCTATCATCATCATCATCATCATCATTACAGCCCTTCACAAGTCCACTGCTGAACATAGGCTTCATCATAGGAACATAGGTTGGCTCTAGCTGGGTTTCAAACCTAGAGCCATAGTTGTGATATCTGCGCCGTGCCGTCAAATATACTTTGACTGCTAATGAATTGTTAAAAGCTATTGAAGGTAGCTAGCTATAACGTGCACCTTTGTTACTTTCAGAGACATGCTCCAGGAGGCGTTCGCCAAGCTGTCGCAACTGACAAACATGTTGGACGTTTGTAAAAATTATTTAAATAATTAATTATTATATTCATGTACTTGATGTATTTCTGATTGTACTTTGTATTTCTGATTATTTTGTCAATGAAAGGATTATTGTGTAAATACGTAATTCGAAAACTCTACCTAAACACACACACACACACACACACACACGCGCGCACGCACGTACGCACGTACGCACGCACGCACGCAGGCACGCTCGCACGCACGCTCGCACGCACTCACGCACGCGCACACGCGCGCGCACACACACACACACACACACACACACACACGCACGAAAACACACACGCACGAAAACACACACGCATGAACACACACACACACGAAAACACACACGCACGAAAACACACACGCACGCACGCACACCACACACACACACACACACACACACACACACACACACACACACACACACACACACACACACACACACACACACACACACACACACACACATACACACACACACACACACACACACACACACACAACACACACACACACACACCACACACTCACCACACACTCACAACCACACCACACACACACCACACACACCACACACACACCACACACACACACACACACACACACACACACACACACACACAACACACACACACACACACACACACACACACACACACACACAGACACACACACACACACACACACACACACACACACACACACACACACACACACACACACACACACACACACACACACACACACACACACACACACACACACACACACACACACACACACACACACACACACACACACACACACATACACATACACATACACACAACACACACACACACACACACACACACACACACACACACAACCGCGCACGCGCACACGCATTTCCTTATACGTTTTCACAGAAACTTCATCCTATACACATCTACGTACATACATTACCAGCAAACACACAAGTACACATAAAATCCTTCATAAAATGACATTTCAATAAAACATCTAAATTAACATACAATTTTACTCACACTAGCGTAATTCACGTTCATACAGTTGCTTTTTTAACAATACAAAATGTACACAGCCATACAAACACACACACGCGCACATACTAGAGACATCCCTTTAGATAGAAGCAAGCTTTTAACATGGCACACTATCCGCCATTTCGCTCATTAAATACAAAACGGACACAAATCAAAAACTGTATTTTTTACAGGACTATCAAAACAAAATTGAATATATGAATTTTTGGATTTTTTTACATTTTTATACGATATAATATATTGTTTTACATGATAGTTGCGTTTGATGATAATAAATAATTTAAGTTAAAATGACGGGTGTCTTTTTCATCGATTTAGGTCACATTTTGCAATAAAATGATTTTAATATTTTCTTTATATTTGTAGCCCTTTTGTATTTAATGAGCGATTTGTAAATGTTGAGTCGTCTAGTCTACTGCGTAGCAAAACGTACATTTTAAAAAGTGTATATAACTCTTAATTTATCAATTGTTATGAGGTTTCTTCCATTTCATATAGAAAAATCATTATTTTTGTTTGTAAAAAAATATTTTGTAAGTTACGCTCTTACAGTTTAGGCCTTTCCCAATGAAGGGAGGATTTATATACCTGGCCTAAACGAGATGGTTGTAACGCCGACGTCAAAGCTGAGTGACAAACGAGCACACAGTGAATGGTAAGTGAATGTTGTTGCCCATAGACATTTACATTAATCCTCAATTAAGAATCAAAATGCGGATGCATTTTCATCCTTTAGGACTAAGAATGGAATGCCTCGTTTCTATTAAAAAAGTCTACGGCTCTCTACACTCACCATACGAAACAAAGCAGCATTGACTTAATAGTTGCTATTTTACGCTGGTATTCTGTGAGGGCTTGGTTCTTCCCGGCCGAGCCGACCCATTCGTGCTACAACCATAAATGGCTGCAGCGTGGCTTACTACGTAAAAACTATATGATTTTTGTGCCTCTTACGAAATCTATGGGACGGTGTGGAGTGAACCATAGAATACTATAATAATACACAATAGAATGGTTGTCAACCTTATTTTGTACGAGGATCGGTGTCGCCAAGAGCACACATACAATCAATGACGTCGGATTATCACTACTACAAATCCGATTCGCTGTATTGACAGACTGAGCGAATTTATTTCCACATTTTAGACTTTTGATTAATGTTTTTAACACATCAATATTTCTTTATTTTATTTCTAATATTCACAAAATATAAATAGTTTCCACTTACTGGTTGTAGGATATGTCTTTTATTTAAATTCCATTTCCCGCTGTTCTTTCGATATGTAATTATTGCACAATTTGCCATTTTTTAAATAATAATTTGCTTGCAGTGAAGCTTGACACGAATTGGAAACTGGAAACGATTGATTGTCTTGACATTTATACATGTGTGAATGAGACATATTAGTGAGATTTTAGTGGCTACGTGGGCTCCGCCCACTCCCCCGTTCTATTATGTATGTATTATAGTATTCTATGGATTGAACGATTTTTTTATGCTACTACTACATTTAAAAAATAGACACAAAAGATATAAGTCCACTACTTTAAATTAAAACTACACTAGCAGCACAGTTTTAGGACCTTACAGTTGTGAAACGCCTTTGATGTCTGGTGATGCCGTCGCCCACGGCCAGCGTGTATGCGAGGGATTGTCACGAAAATGGAAATAAAATAATTTTATTTTAATATAATATTATAATTCTTATTATATCATTTATTAACATTATGTGTGTGTATACTTATAAGTTGCATAAGTTTATTGAACAAGACTATTATTTAATACTACAAAAAACAACACATTTACGAGTGTTGCACTGCCAAATATTTTCGTGACACTTTATTTTTATACATGTTTTTTGTTTTCGATTGTTAAATTTAATATGTAGTGTAATTCGCATTCGGATAAACAATTTTATCAACAAAAAATTAGGGAAACATAAGCATGGCCGCCATTTGTATTCATTTTTACTTAGTATATATATATTCTAGATACTATATTTTTCGAAAAAGACACTTAAAATTAGTTAAAAAAGTACTATAAAACACGCTCGCGCCAACCGCATGTATTGTCTATCAGACTCAGTGAAGTGCGCTAGGACATGCTTGGACCGCCTTCTTCCCTTCAGTGCCCCACCATTGCTCTGCACAAGTACATTCGTTTCCAAACTGTAAGATCTTTAAATTGTGGTAGCCGGGAATTTTGTTAGATATTTCCTATAATCGTTTGTTTTCATTAAATAATAGTGAAAAACAAAATATGCGTAATTGTTGTTCACTATATGAAGTTGATGATGGAAGAAACTTCATGATCTACAAAGACTGACTGCCCCTGTATATATATATATATATATATAATTGTCTATGACCTGTTTAAGATTTACTATATATTTTCTTATAATTAATATATTTTTAGGCTAAGCAAGATGTATCCTAGCAATGAATTACAAACCTTACTGTCTTTACGGAGCTTTTTCTGTGTATATGTTACGTATTGGTGTTTTTTATATACATTTGGGTTTTGCATTTGTTTTTTTTTTTAATAACTATGATGTTTTTTACTTTTCCTGATAGATAGAGTTATTAGAATCTTTGTTGGCTTAGTTGTTACCGTTACGTTGTATCGACTTAGTTAATATTACATTGTCGTGGTTATATTATATTAAATGTGCAATTCCTTAGAATTTATCTATGAAATTGTTAAGTTTTTTTTTATAATATAATAAATACTAGTAACACTTTAAACATTACTAATATTTCCGGATTTTTTTCCCGACTACCACAGAAGTGTAACGTGTTTCATTTATGTATGTATAAAGAAGTAGTCGTACATATGTCTATTTCTTTGGCACACTCTATGGCCAAAACGGTTTAATGCTTTAAAAAAATATTCATAAAATTCGGTTTACAATTGACAAAGATATCGTGAAACATAAATATAAGAAATAACAGTTCATGGCCAACAAACTCCTTATTTGAAGACTTCTAATACTGGAATATTATTTAAAATAAAAAAAGCACACAGGAGAAGTGAAACCTTCAGAAAAGTAGACCGAGATAATTCCAAATATTGGGTCTATACATATGAAATTAGCGTTTTGTCGTACATGGTCTGAAATATCTCCTCTTTGGTTAAGAGTTCCAAATTCAAATTTAAAAATTCGTTTAGCTGGTACATTTGAGTTTTGAAAACAGTCATTCATTTGTTTTATCCTAATTATTTTTTTCTTTGGCGTCGCTTATTACCGCACAATGGAAAACATGAAATATCGGATATTTACGAGTAAGAGCACCAGTGCTGCCGAAACATCTCGAAGGATTAATGATGTGTACGGCGCTGGTGTCGCAAAAGAAAGTACGGTACGTTTTTGGTTTCAACGTTTTCGTTCTGGAAATTTCGACCTTCAGAACCAACCCTGTGGACAGCCGGAGACCAAAGTGGAAAATGAAGAATTAAAGGTTTTAGTGGAAGCGGATCCATTACAAAGCACTTCAGAGATAGCTGCAAGCTTCGGGGTAAGTGATAAAACTGTATTAATCCACTTGAAGCAAATCGAGAAAGTAAAAAAACTTGAACAATGGATACCTCATGAATTGGGTGAATTGAACTTGCAAACACACGTCGACTGCTGTGTTACTTTGCTCAAGCAACACAAAAATGAAGGGATTTTAATTCGAGTCATTACTTGTGATTAAAAGTGGATATTGTACGATACGATACGAACCCTGCAGACCCTGCCAAACCCTGCCCTAAACGAAAATTGACTCAGAAAAAGTTACGTGTGAGTGTCTGGTGGACTAGCGCCGGTGTCGTTCACTACAGCTTTCTAAAATCTGGCCAAACGATTACGGCACATATCTATTGTCAGCAACTGCATACCGTCGTCGTTGTTGTCCTCTGCAGGGCATAATGCCGTGCAGGTCTCGGGCCTCGGGGTGTACCCCTTTACCCGGATGTTCCTCACGGCACACTACAGTGTGC